GATTCCACATGGAATCAATGCACTTTCCTTGTGGAATCCACTTACTTTCCACGCGGTATCTGCGTGGATAATCCACGTAGAAATCGACGCAATTTTTTTCAACTGGGACTAGGCACCTTCAATTTTTTTTCGGGCTAAAATTTTAGGAAATATTTTTTCAAAATATCGCCTCGCACGTTTTTTTAAAAAAGTAGGAGAATGACCCATGAACACTTAATTTTTGTAGCTAAATGTTTTTGTTTTCAGAACGAGCCTAAAGTCTTCGTATACGCTGGATGTTATTGCCACCGAACGTATACAAAACAAAGCAGCATTAGAGCAATAAAACATAAATCAGACGCACTTCGAAATATGAGAGGTTAGCTGAATACATGCAGACTGTTCAAGACGAATCTCAGGTAGCTGAATCAAAACATACTTACGTTGAAAACCACAAAATAAGTACGACACAATAAATAATCAACTGAAGCACCAAAGCATCAACGATCAGACGAAAACTTTTCAACGATCCAGATGACGAACCAGCTCTGCTAACAGCAGTAAATTGACGTGTGAGAAGTGCTGACGAGAAGTAAGTCATTTAACGACTATGCATGGATCATCAATTGATATCACTTCACGCGACACGAGCGACGAGGACGAAGACTTGTAGCTGTCATTAAGAACCTATCTACTTTCTGCAACTCGTGTGCGCAAAGTCGCATTTTCAAAGTAATGTTACGGCTGGAGAGCCAATTTATTATAAATAAATTCTATTGATTTTATTCTGGCTGGTGACAACGAGGGAAAGTATATATGATGTTATTTATTTGTTTTGGAGTGGAGTAGTCGTTATTATTTGTTATTATAATTTACAATGCAATATTATTCATCCATGCAGATACAAAAGTTTAACTTACACCTAGGCTTACTCAACTAATTAAAAATAATATACATAAGCCTGGTGGACGATTCTCGGTGTAGATCGTGGCTCACTCTGCAACTGGTTGGTTGGCGTTCCTTGTTGGCTGCACTGCACTAACTGCACTAGTCTCGATTACATATTACACTCCGCATTGGACTCGCGGCACAATTTAATACAAGTCTAAATGCTATAAAATCGCGGTACAAAGTGACGTGAGCTCTGCCCACCGAATAAGATGATAGTCGAATCGCACAGAGGCCTCCGTGGGTCCTCAATATATACTACTAGATTTTGCATACAAAAATAGGAGAAAGTACCTGTCAACCCCTGCTCATCCGTGAGAACCTGACGACAGCTTTTGCTAATTTTTACGAGTTCATTGCTCTTCCTGCTAAATTGGCATCGCCTCACATTTAATCAATGCTTTGTATGGCGTGTCTATTTCACACCTTTGTAAGAGGTGTAGATTTCGATGTTCTTTTCATAGAACTCGATGTTTTTATCAATTTTATAGTTTTGTTTTTCACTTAGCTTGATGTCGTCAGATCCCGTCGATTGAGTCTGGCGCGTCCGTTCGTAGAGTGAAATTTCATGTTTATCGTTGTTTGAATATACATTATTTTTAAGAATATTATAATTGTTTATAATAAAATGAGGGTGACGTGACAGTAATACGAAGAAGCCAGCCACCGAGATTTGTAGACGAAGAAAGAGAATCGGAGTAAGCTTATTTAGAACTAACCTAAGTTCAGCGGTATTATCGGGTTCTGGCACTACAATTTGATCCCGCGTCCCTCCAAGATTTTTCGCGAGTGTTGATTGCTCTTTATCTAGCCGATACGAATTTATGAATACTACGTTAACGAAATATTTATAAAACTGAATTTAACTTCGACTTATCATTATTGTTTCACGTATTTTTAACTTTTCGGTCCACGTGCCGCATTCGAGTGGTGGCGCCATAATCCTTCAGGTAGTAACTTAGCTTGTAATTTTTGGTATATCTTAATAAACTATTTTTATTTATTCCTCACTTTAACTAATTGTATATGAATCATGTTATTTCTGACGCAAGCCTAACCCTTATAATGTAAATTTGGCTATGAAGGCAGAACCCGGAGATGACGTATCTTACAAAAAAGTTAAATTTTAATGTGCTTTTTTTTCAATGTTTCGCTAAGCTTGTCAGCCTCTTCAGGGTGATATAAAAATGTTATATCTAGACTTGTGTTACGTTATCTTAACGCAACTTTTATACAACGGAATAGTCAAATTTCCGATCGCGATATAGTCAAATGATCGACCTTTTACTCTCGCGCGCTTACGCACGCGACTACGTATTGATAAAAATACCTTGTCACTCACTCGCCACATGATCGGAAGACACGCGAGCACCATGCCATAGACACGCGTTAGACCGAACAGCTAAGATAACGGATAGACTATGCAGACGAAAACTAACAAATGCACACGACACCATAGCCACGAGCGGTCGCTTGACACCTAGGTATTGATGACACAGCTGATGGCTATCGACGAGCCAATATTATTCAGTTTTGGAAGATGTACACACACGAGCATTAGATATACGCGCATTAGATCACGTAGGCCACGATAGCCGAGATTAGGCGAAAAGAGTTATATGAAATAATTGGGTGAATGGCCCATAATCAAAGAGTGGTTTCGCAAGCCCAGCTCTAGGAGGTAACTCGCTCGCGCACGTAGGCCTACTGGTGGCGAAACACCTGCCGATAAGCGCAGATTAAATCGGGTATATAACCCGGCGCAAACTAACACTCACCCCTTCTTATTGTAACTAACTTTGTACGAGACACATCTAGACAGATTGCTCTCTTGATCGAATTGTATTTTGTCGCGATTAAAAACTAAAGTCTTAAAATAGAATCTAGTGTGAAGTATATCTTAAGTATCAATTGTAAATCGAGTGTGCAAGTGTGTACTCTCCGACGTAGCGAGAGCAGAGTGGAATTAACAATACTACAACCCATCAATAAATAAACGAACTGTAAGTCTATTCTATCATATATTTTATTATTTTCCATCCCATTCTATTCCCCTCGTAACAGCACAGATAATAAAGTATAATTCATAGTAAATATACAACACTTCCATTCTATTTGTTATAAACCCTGTATTGGGAATGTAACACTTGTATCGGAGATAGTGATAATAATATCATAGATATTACAAGCAAAGCATTTACATTCTATAAGAAAAAAGACGTTAAGAATTTAAATAACATCTATTTCAAAATTTTGACAAATTTGTCATGTTGTTTCTTCTTTACATGTGTATAATTGTGCACATATTGCTACTCACAGCTGAAATGTAGGTAGATTAATTAGCTACTTACTATTTGTAAAATCTTTATATCGTTTTAGAAAGGCCGACAAGCTCAACAAAACATTAAAGATAAAACACATTGAAATTTGACGTTTATTGTAAGAAATTGTGAGGGTTGCGTCACCTCTTATTCTTTCCTTATCAACGTCATCTTCAGGTTACACCTTCATAGTCTCATTAACATAGTAATACTAATGTGGATGGTGTGAGAAAAAATAACGAAAATTGAACAATGAAAAATCCTTGCAGAAAAAAATCAGGTAATTCGCCATGTGATAAATCAGGCGATGAATCAGCTGAATTATCAGATGATTTGTCAGTTCAAAACGTCAGCTGATTTTTTTACAAAATATAAACCATCGAGTTTCAGCTGAATTGATAAATAATAATTATAGTTTAATGGGTATATTTCTTGCTTCCTGCGTTAATTGGGCTATTTCTACTGTTCATAATATTTTTATTAAGCTATGAATGAATTATGGTTTAAGAATAATTATATTTTTTACTTTTATAGCACTGCGGGGCATTAGTTCATAAATCCATACATACATATGTATTAAAAAATAAAAATCAATCTTGGACTCTTCATTGTACTCATCGATACCCTCTCTCAATTCGTTAGTACACCCAAAAAAAGCAAGTCGTAATAAATGCAACAGCCGATTGCATGTAAGGGTCGCGAAAAAAAGATAGAAAGCTAAGATCAGACATGTGAACAGATGAAAAAAAAATCTTTATTAATGCAACTATGCATGGTAATAATGATTGTTTGAACAATGAAGAAGTAATTTGAGATTTTACAGAAAACTTCAACTTACTCCACGAACACCACATGAACGGCACTGACAGATGCAACTTTTTACGTATTCCTAATCCCCCTTCTCAAAGCATCAGCATCTAAAACACATAACATAAACCTTATAAAAATGTCCTATAGGATCCTGCAAAATTACAGGAGTCCTATAGGATTTCAGTAGGAATTTCGCGGGATCCTATAGGAAATTTTTATAAGGGAAATTTTAATTTTAATAGGGCCCACTGATGCTTTATTCTTCGCAACACTATCACTGAATAATTTGTTGTAAAATAAATTTAAAGTACGACGCCGCGACTTTTCTGCTACACGGCAAAATTCACGGTTATGATAGTTGTTTTTATGATAACGTTGTTAAATTTTTTACATCTAGCATCAATCAGTTCCCTTATAAAAATTACCTATAGTAACAAAATTGTGATTTTGTTTAAAAGTGTTTTTCTATAGTTCATAGTTACTATAGAGTCTACTATGGTAGTACTATTAGGAAGTTCCATAGGAATTTCCTATATTTTATTTTCATACGATATTTCTATACTTTTTTTCTTAAGGATATATTGTACCAAATACGTTGAATTACTGAAACAAAATCGTTTTCCTTAAAACAATTTGAATTTATTGCAGGAATCAAATATTAATAAAATTTTCCTAATTGCTTCTGTTACATATTTTTCATATAAAAAAATCTAAAATAATAATTTTTTTAAATAATGATCATAAAATTCTAGAAATATTTTTGAAAAAATGGTGGAATAATCTAGCTAAAAAGTTGTTTTAAGTAATTTTTTTAACTTTTGACATTATGAAAAAAAAATTAATATTAAGAACCTATAATTTTCGGTAGGATGGATGATTTTGATAGAAAAAAGATAGCTCGCGCAAACGCATGAGTATAGCCCCAAAAGTAGGTCAGCATAAGTTTATAGGTGTGAAATGTATTTGATATTAAACCAGAGTCATTATTCATTTTAACATTAGTAAGTCGTCATTTATTTTATGAATTTTCAAGATATTATAATAACTTCATAAAAAAGTTAAATTTTTTTAGAACCCGACTTTACCGTTTTTTCTTCTGAAAGTATTTATAATACTGTTATTTATTTTATACTATTATGATCTAATTGTAGTATTAAGCACTATTCAATGTCTTAAGTTTTTATAATTTTTTTTTTGCCAAATTATTAAATTGTTTGCTTAAAAGATACTTTGAAAAGCTCAAAATAATCACTCCATGCATTTCATTTTACTCAAAATCATTCATAATGATAATACTGATAATATTACAAAGTTGAGCTAGCTGATTAATGATTGTGTTTTACAATTTACATCATATTTTACAGTATTTTCTTTAAAATTTCGTAGTATAAAAAATAACCAGCATTACAATTTGCTGTACGCATTCATTAAATAATAAAACGAATTTTTTCATATTGATAGTTATAAATTAACTATAATAGAAGTATTTAGACTCGATAAATACCATAACTGTTTTTATTTTACATGTAAAATATAAGCATACTATGCGAAATCAGCTGAGAAATCAACTAAAATATTAATTATTATAACCATTAGCTGTCTAATCAGCTAAATCATCGAAAAAGTGTAGACTGACTTTTTTCAAAAAATAAGATTTTAGTTTATATGAATATCATTTGATTTTATCATCATAAAATTATGTTTTTTTAACATATTAATAATTTTGAAACATTTATAATCTAACACCATTTCTCAATCGGTATACAACTCATACGACATACAGCACTCGTTTTCGGATCGTGTCACAATCTTTTTTTTTGCTGAAAGAAAAGTTAGTTAGATAGGAAAAAACAAAAAATTTACCGAAAAATATAACTTTGACGCTAAATGAAGAAATTTGTGGGAAAAAAAGTATTATCAACAGGTTCAATTATGGGTTGTCAACCAAACTCGTTACAGCACTTATGCCATAATCATCCGTTTTGGGAAAAAGCTACAAATGACAGAAAAAATGTCGCGGTTTATCTTATAGAAAATTTTTTTAAGGTGATGCCATCACTTAAAATACTTCGGCATCACCTTAAGTACACGCCTGCATAAAAATTGTATTTTGATAGTTTCTATGAATGCTTTATTATGTTCAAATTAATATGTTCAAAAAAGTTAATAAACTTTTTAAAGTTTCGAAAACTTTTATAAATTTTAAAAAAATTTTAAAAACTTTTCAGCTTTGTGAAGCTTGCGGAGGAATTGAAAGAACACTACTTTATGATATATCGCTGGATAGTGAAAAAAAATCTCATTAAGAATACAGAAATTAAAAATATGCTCAACTTTTTATTTGTTAATGTTTTTTGAAAAATTGTCGAACGCTACTTGGAACTTTAACAGTAAATATTTCAGTTCTGATTGCTGTTAGTAAAACGAATACATCGGTTAAAATAAATAAAAGGTAACATTCATGTAATCGCAATGGTGCTTCGATACTTTGAATCGTTTATGCTGCGCACGCATGTGTCCGGGCGCGAAATTCAAAACATTCAAAATTTGAATATGAAAAATTATTAGAAAAAATGGTACTAAAATTTTTTTAAATATTAAAGAATGTTAGAAAATGAAAACTAAAGTAGCCACCTATGAAACCCAGCTCGGTAATGTTTTTTTGATAAATCTGCAAACCAGAACAGTAACCTCCGCGACCCAGCTTGCTATTATTCAAACAATTAAATTGCAAACCAAAGCAGTAACCTCCACGACCCAGCTTGCTATTATTAAAATAATTTAATCGTATATTATTAAAACAATTATCCTGCAAATAAAAGCAGTAACCTATGTGACCCAGGACGTGTATCAAACAATTCAATCGAATACGAATACGAGCACATCTAATGTTGTTCATACTAAGACCTCACTGAATTTAAATTTAATTTAGTCCCAGTCGATTCGACCCAAATGCGAAACCTTTTTCGCTGACATTATATAATGCTGCTCAATCTTTACCGGGGCCTACCTCTACGACTCCTAGCTTTGGACACAACCCGATATCACTTACAGGTCTTTATCAGCCTCTGATCGTGGTACCACGATCCTACTTGGTGGTTTATAGTGCTCAAGGAAGAATTCGAAGTTTTAAGTATTACGAAAGACAGAACTAAGTACAGCTATCTGCTTAAAGGGCTTGGTACTAGTACTTGTAAATCACTTTCGTCGGTTATAAAATCGCTGCCTGCCACTGACAAATACGTTAAGCTAAAAGAGCAGATTATTAAGAAATATTCGGAAACAGCTCATCAGCAGTTAGACAAGTTATTCTCTCGGTGATAAGAAACCTTCGGAGTTGCTATGGAAATGCAAGCCCTAGATAAAGATCACGTTCCTAAAGAAACACTCATGCTCCTTTGGTACAGGCTTTTGCCTAGTGGCTTGGTGGTACTGCTGGACGAATCCGTCACTAGTGCCAATGCCACCGCAGTAGTAACCAAAGCAGATCGTTTGCATAAGATTCTAAAATCATCCAAAGGTGACTCGTAGATTTCCTGCTTAGATTCTCCTCATTATTCTGAGGGCGAGCTCCACGATAAGTTGGTGAGTTCGGTGGTGGCAGCTATGTCTGTTAAACACAAATCAGAGGATAGACCCTCGCGTTTGAAATCTACGGATAAGAATAATAATAGATCGAATTCCGTGAGAAGGTCAAAGTCGAAATTGCGTTATAGTCCAAATAAGGACTTATGCTTTTATCACGGTAAATATGGAAAGGGCGCGGAGTTCTGCTCTACTCCACCTTGTCCTTCGGAGGATAAGTATACAAACAAACGTAACAACCATGTTTACGCCAGGGGGCCTCAGCGACTTCAGTTTTTGTACCCGACGCTGTTTTTCTATGTTTCGCACGAATAGTCTGCGATCGACGCGACTTCCGTGGCTCACGTAGTTCTCTCTGACGAGTCGATGTAAGTGCAAGGCGCCCACTAACCTGCGCAATACTTAAGCCCCATTTCAGCCAATAAAGTTAAAGTGAAATTATTGTTAAAACCATAACAACGGTGTCATCTTTTATCAAACCAGTGAATTTTATCCTCCATTACCTCTGAATAGAGTCGGCCAGCTTGATAAAAAGGCATCGAGCCCCTACCCAATTGCACAGACCAGGAAAACTAGAGTCCTCGGGCGCGTGCGAAGCTAGCGTTCCGGGCTACCTTACTTCTTATTCAAAACGCCTCTTCGTCAAGGACTTAAATTCTGGCGCTGTGTATCTCATTGACACAGGCGCAGAGATTTCAGTTTGTCCAAAAGGTGATGCAGACGACTCTGCCCTCACCGATATGACATTGCATGTAGCCAATGGCAGTTAGATTAGAACTTACATGAACGGCTCATGTAACATTGATTTGAATTTTGGGCTTCGGCGTAAGATGGCATGGTCGTGCGTGCTAGCAGATATGCCTTACTCAATTTTCGGCGTGGATGCACTTTTTCACTTTGATCTTTTACCACTTTTGAAAAATAAGAGATTAATTGATAACATCACTGGTTTTTTTGCTCAGGGTCATCTCGCTTCGGCATCAGTTTATGGTATTAGCATTGTTGATCCTTCACATCCGCTCGCACACATTTTACAAAAACATTCTCAGGTTTTCAACTCTCAGGCCATTGCTGGTGCTAGAGCCACCAAAGTTTTTCATACCTTGCCCACCACTGGTGAGCCTATTGCACAACGTGCTCGGCGTTTAGTTTGCGAAATGGCGTGAGGAGGGTATAGTTCGTCCATCAGACAGCCCCTAGGCCTCACCCATTCATATCGTGCCATAGAAAACACCTGGATCGGCCTCCTTGACTCAGTGGGTATAGTTCTTGCCTGCTGATACAAGGCACGCCGTAGGGCGTGGGTTCGATCCCCACCGGACGAATTTTCGAGGTTCGTTTTTTCGCCTGGTGTGGTCGAGCCTGTGCCTGAGGTGGAGCGGGTACCAGTCAAAAAAGAAGACCCGGGCTATGTCATCAGCCTCCGAAGCGGTAAAAAACCCCGATCACTGTGCGAGCTGGAAGCGATAGGACAACCACAAGTAGGAGCCCGAGGCGAGGACTCACAATGCTGGCAATAGATGGAGCACAGCACTTCCATGATGAAGTCGGAAGCGAGAACTACACTCACAAGAGGGCGTCGGATGCGAGAGCCAAGGCTCTGGTGGAGCGCATGATGGCGCCTGAAGCGAGAACCACACTCACAAGACGACAACAGAAAAGGAGGAGTTCAAAAACTCACGGAGACTCACAGCGTAGCGCCGGAAGCGAGAACCACACTCCCAAGATGTAGCCGACAGAGCAAAGCGGCGGACTTGCCATCGGCTGCAGAAGCGAGAACCACACTCACAAGATGGCACTAGACAGCGAGTTCTAAAGAAGATGTCCAACTCAGGAGGAGATGCCAGCAGTGTGTGACCACGCAGACGGCTCTGAAAAAAGGGGATACGACAATCGACGATGGCAGCGTGCAGGATCGGAGGTTCACCATGTAGATAAAGATGAGTCCCTGAACCCCTAATCGTCGCATATCACTATGCGACGGATGGGGGATGTATGGAAAACAACGACTAACAGAAGTAGCAGAAATGCTCAACTAACCCCGGCCTCACCGAAGCAATGCCTAACGGCGGATACCGGTGAGTGTCCGAATGGGGTGGAGTAGAAAAAAAAAAAAAAAAAAAAAAAAAAAAAAAAAAAAGAAAATAGAACACACCTGGAAAGTTTAGAGTTTGTGGTGACTATAGGAAGTTGAATTCGGTAACCAAACCCAATCGTTATCCCGTCCCCAATCTCCACGACTTCACGTCCATTTTGTACGGAAGAAAAATTTTTTCTACTCTTGATCTATATTGGGATGCACTTTTATCGTGTCGCGAGCTTTCTAGGCGAGCGTGCGTGAGCATACGCGTTCCAAAGTGTAGATGCGAATAAATTAATGTTTTCGTGCGTCCCTCAACTTGAACCAAATAAATTT